CCTTTAATGTGGACATTTCTATAGGGAATAAGGAAACACAAGGGGACAACTTGTGTCGTCTGGGCAACTGCACTGGGGTTTTACAAGATGGAGTTAGGGGTATTCTCTCTGGTCCTAGTCTAGCTTTGTGACCTTGAAGACCAAGACAGGAAAATAGCAATGATCCCACGCAAAGAGGTGCCACCAAAGGGGTTGGCCTCCTGAGGAGTCCTCCTCCATGCTGCAGCAGAGTTATCCTCCTCTTAAGGACCTTCCCTAGCTCCCTATTTCCCATATGATGAAGTCTGAATTCCACAGCCAACCTTTCAAGACCCTTCACCATCTTGGCCCCTAACTATATTTGCAGCTTCCTTCTTGGGCACGTTCTTCTCCCTCCCCACCCCGAATCATGTATCCTGTGCCAAGATGCTCTACCCTTTGTTCTTTTGCTGATCATGAGCCGTACTCTTTATTCTCCACCTGGAAAACATCCTGGCTCATTTTTTAAAGCCAAGCTCAAATGTCACTGTGGGTCCTCCTCATACAGATAGAATTAATCACCCTCTCCTCGGTGCCTCCAAACACATCTTTTATCCCTCTGGCCAACTCTTCTGTCAGTGAGGTACAGATTTGTTCTTCACCTAAGCCCCCCAGGGAAAGGCAACATGAATAATTCATCTCAAATTATCCAGAGCTTGTGATGGTGTCTGATGGAATAAATGGAGTAGCCCTAGACCAGATCCTGGGGTTGGAGGATTCCTCTTTAGCCTCAAGCCTTGCTTCTCTGAAACCCATCTTTCTTCCACCCACAAAGGGATCTACTGCTTGTAAGTCCTGTTCGCTTTGCCCCTGACCAAAAATAGCTTACAGTGTTGCAGGATTTCGCTGCCTTTAGTGTCCATGGTTCATGGTCATGCCTCTTGGAAGAATGAAGAGGTAGACAAGACGAAGAGTGGTGGGCAGCAAAGCAAAGTTTATTGAGCAAGAGTACAAAACTCCCAGAGACAGAGGGGACCCAAGAGGGTTGCCCTTGGAGTTTCTAAGTTGAGGGGGTTTTATGAACTCTTTTGCGGAACTATCTTAAGCAATTAGGGTGTACTGAGTTGGGCCAATCAGGGCTTTGGTCACGTATCTGTCCACCTATTAGGTTAATGTCCACATGCTGATGGTCTTTTTTTGCTGACATCTGAGAGCTTATGTCTTAACTGCCCCTTGGCCGTGATAGTGACAAATGCTTTGTGGTTAATAGTCTTATTTTAGGACATTTTGCAGAAGTCATTTCTGCAAAGGCTGCAAAGCAGAATGCTAGTGCGGTCCTGTCTAAGCTGCAAAACAGGATGTTAGTGCTGTTTTATCTTAGTGTCCTGACTCCATATTTTCTTGTTGAGGACCCTGACCCTGACTACCTCACTGTCCAACTAACTCCTAATAGCACGTCTCCTTTTTATACTATTCAATAGATTGTATTTGTATCGGTGTATGTCTTTTCCATGAACTTTTGCATTTTAACAATGATCAAAGCCTACAACCAAAACTTAATGTGGCATCTACAGATGGGTTGAGGGGGGTCCACAAATCCCCTGAAAATGTTTGCCAAATTGTCTACCCATCTTTCAAGGGGAGGGGCCTGTAACTTTCATTATATTCTTTGAGTAGACCAGAATTCCCCAAACAGTTGAGATCTGTAGAGCTAAAGGAATGAAGCTTTAGAGAAGAACTTTAAGGGGAAGCATGGCATGGAGCAGGCCTTTAGCACGTTCCCAGAACCATATCACACACCTGGCACCCGCTTTGTTGCAGAATAAAGACTCTGGTTTTCTCAAGAGAGGCTTAATCTGTCCTGAGAACAAGAGCAGCCTGAGGTCAGGAGAAGGTGCACCTTTGTGCATTTTCTCCTGCCTGGAGATGTGTACCTTCTTCCACCTAAGGTCGAGCAGAGAAAGTCCCCTGTCCCCTCAGCGGTCCCCAGCAGCATCTCTCCAGCCATCCTCTGTCCACTGACATGCTCAACTCTTTCCACATGACAGCTCCTCAGATATTCGAAGACCGTCCCCTAACCTTCATGCGACTGCTCCCTTTTCTAGGTTCGCTTCCACATTTCTTTAAGACGTGGTTCCCATCAGCCTGGACATTCTACTTGAGGTTTTTTCTTAAAATATAGCAACCCAGACATGGCCCGGCTGTTGTCCTATGGGCTACACTTCCGTCCATGCAGCCCAAGATGGCCTCTGAGCTCACAGTACGTTGCATGGAGCCTAGTGTCTCCCGGAGTCCCTGGACCTACTTCCTACGTCTTTGTAATAATTCCATTTGCTTTCCAGTTTCAGAAACTCAATAACAACTTCTCCATCAATTGTATTTTTTTAATATAAATGCATTTTAGGTGTTTTGGAGGTGAATGCCCACTTTTCCATTCTTCCAAGAGGACAGGTTTCACCCAAGGGACATGGCATTGGACTGAGAGTTCTAAGTGGGCAGACAAAGGCGCAGCCCCGAGTGATTCTCCTCACCACCTCGTGGCACACCTCATATGCGGCTTGTATGTTCAGTTGCTCCTGGCCAGTAGGCTCTGCCTTCCCAGCCAGCTTGTAAAACGGATTATAAATTCCTTGAGGGCCAAGATCCTCTATCTTGACCTATTTGTATCCCCGGTGTTTATCCCAGTATTAAATGCCCATATAGCATCCATCCCAGTGTCTTATTATTTCTACTCCCTTAATGTCACTTGAGTCCCTCACCCTCCGCTGCCACCATCCTAGTTCTAGCCACCTTCATCTCTCCCCTAGACCTGCCGTAGCCCTCTGACCAGTCTGCTTTGGCTCAGTAGCTGTGCAGCTTTAAAAACTCCAATTAGATACTCAAACTCCCCTTAAAACTGCATTAATTAAAAGAATTACCCAGAGTAGTCCCTGTGCCTCAAGCACAAGCATGAGAAGAAAGCACTAAATCATGATCTGTGGAAAGGCCTAGCGAAGACGAGAGCCTTTGGGTCCAGAGTCACCTCCACTGAGAAGCCTTTCCAGATCGTCCCAGGTGGAAGTGACCTCTGCCCGCTTTGTGACCCAGGTTGCTCTGAAGACACTTAAGGGGAAACCTGCATACATTTTTGATTTTTTAACATGATTCTCTCCCTGTTGGATTAGAAGCCCCTGGTGGACAGGCCCAGGTGTTGTCTTCGGGCAAAGCCTGGGGGGCTGCCTGAGCAGAGTAGACCATCAATCAGGGCCTCTGGACTGACCGACCAAAGAAATGAATGATTTGTGTAAAAGGAATGTTCTCCATTCCAATGGAGCTTGCCTAGGAGACTATACTGAGTGCCATTCTCCTCCTCAATTGGTGCTGAGATGCTAAAGCTGTGAGAGGAGCTTCACCTTGGAGGGTCCCAGGACGCAGACCGCGCGGGGTCTAACTGAAGACTCTTCTCCGCCCGTGAGCGGTGGGACTTGCTGAACAAATGATGTGCAGACTGTGACTCAGCCCTTCCGGGATGGAGAGCTGCCTTCCAACACATGGCCACCTGACCTTCCTCCTCACTGACCTACTCAATGAAAGCCTTCACCGAGTTTGTTTTCTTCCCTGACCAACACACACACACACACACTCAGCTTTCTTTATTTGTAAGCTCTTTGGACTTTGTTCTCTCCTTTGACCCCACAACCAGCTGGTGAACCCCAGGCTCTGGGGGACCTCCTCTGTGTCCACTCCTCAGTACAGAGCGCTTCACTGACCCCACGCTCTATCATAGGACAGCCAGGAAAAGGGGCCCCAGACACCTGCCCACTTTGGAGGGTTCTTAGACTTTCCTGCAATTACATTATAAAACCCTAGAGGTCATTGAAGGAAAATAGCACTCAATACAACCAAATTCCAAAGTACTATAGCAATAGCAGTCCTAGTATACTATTAATGCTCTCGCAACGATGATCGTATAGTAATAGTAATGGTAATGGTAATCCTAAATGAAAACAGTACTGAAGAGGCAAGTTAGTACTAAATTTTGTGGTGACAATATTTTTCAAGCCTTAATCAGATTTTTTCTCTTGTTCCTGTGTACTTTCTACTTCGCACACAATACCTTTCTGTAAGTCATATGCCTATTCAATGGAAATTTTGAAAACAAAGATTTTTTTTTTTTACTTGATGGTAAAGCAAGAACATAACAGGGATTTTATAGTTTTACCTTTGAGATCACAAAAAGGACACAAAACTATTTTGACACATTGTATGAATATTTTATTTTAATATCAGTGTTATCAGTCAAGACTCTTGGTTGCAAGTGGCAGAAACCTGACTTGAACCAGCTTATGTAAACACAGGAACTGTTTCGCTCAGGAAGGATTGAGGAACCAAACCCTCAAAGGGACAGGAGGGGCATAGCTTAGCCTCAGGGAGAGCTGGAAGCAGGGATTGGAGGCTGCTGCATGAGTCTGAGATTTGCCCTCCTCACTTGGAGAAGCAAGGGTCTAGACTGAAGATGCTAGTCCGTCCTAGCCACTCTTGGGAAAAGCAGCAAGTCAGTGTGCTGGCTTGAGATGGAAAAATAGATATGTGATCTCGAATAAAATATTATGTTAAAGACATATTTATAGGGGCGCCTGGGTGGCTCAGTTGGTTAAGCGACTGCCTTCGACTCAGGTCATGATCCCAGGGTCCCTGGGATCGAGCCCCGCATCGGGCTCCCTGCTCCGCGGGAAGCCTGCTTCTCCCTCTCCCACTCCCCCTGCTTGTGTTCCCTCTCTCTCTGTCTCTCTCTCTCTGTCAATTAAATAAATAAAATCTCTAAAAAAAAAAAAATTCATTTAAAGACATATTTATAGAAGGAACCCTAAAATTATACTTAAAACATCTTGTAAATTTACACGTATCAGAGAGCCCACCAATGCTTCAATTTCCCTAGTTGTGAGTTGATAGTAATGAATTGCCTCAAGCTAATTAATGCATGTGATATTGTTTGAAACAAAAACATTATGGAAAATACAGGTTATAACCTGTGGTATTTTTTCTTGTCTTTTTCTTTGTAGGAGGTGTCAGTGAAAAAAAAGGTCCAGAATGATTACTAACCTATGACTCCCAACAGTATGACAGGTATCTACTTTTTAAAATTTTCTTTGCATGTCTCCATTTTTGTGCCACCTAGAGAGAAATAGAGGGTTTCTAAAAGACCAACCTCAGAGTCTTAGCAACAATTATTTCCAGTATTACTAAATACAGATACACCCTGTGAATACATCCCGACAAATGAGCTTTCATCTTCTTCAGAAACAATGAGATGCCTCGTCACCAGAAACCTATGGTGAAGAAATGATAATTCACAGTAAAAGGCTAGTTTTTATCTATCCTGAGATAACCCTTGCACACTAGACACGTTGACTCTTTACATTCACTTAGATCAATGTAATAAATGGCTCTACACACTTAATGACTAGAGTCCAGGCACCTTCCTGCAAATGGGCTGTTATTCCATTTAGCAGTAGAGTCAGAACAGAATGTGGTTAGATTGCAGCAGATAAACTAGCAAGGGACAAAGGAGACAGAATGACCCCCAAGGAAGATAAGGTTGCAATAGCATGAATTCTTTGTGCAACACAGAGAGCAGGGGTTGCAAACTCAAAGGCCCCAGGGGCCAGGCAGATAACACTAATGTCAGAAACAGGTTGGGTGTAAGGGAAAACACCAAACAAAACTGGAATACTCAGGTTCTCTCTGAAGAACAGCCATTCCCCCACTGTAGGTGATCACTGACAAGTAGGGATGAAGCCCAGAATGCCCAGAGATTTCAAATTTTCAAAAGAAGTTGGAAATCCAGATTTTAAATGAAATATTCCCCCTCACAAATATTAGCAACTAACTTATAAAAATGTCAAAGACTCATGGGCCCATCAAAATACGTCTGCTGACTAGAATGAACCCAGGGGCCATCAGTTTACAATCTCTGCTACCTACCTTCCAGCATAGCACCAAGCCCCTCCCCATTCCTGTGGTTCCCATGAGAGCAGGGCAGACACCCATAGACCTCTGTGTGTCACGGGTACAGCTTGACCTTTGATAATCCATTCACGTCATGGCAGACTAAACATGCAGGACAATTCCTCCAAGAATCCATTCCCCCGTAGACCTGAGAAACTGAAGTGACATAAAGCTCCACTCAGCCTTCTGCAAGTTTGGAAGCCTCCCGAGGACCATACACTGCCTCTCTCAGCATCACTGCCCTGCCCTTCTACCCACCCACACTGGAACTCTCGGTGTAGCCCAAAAGATGGAGTGCCGGAACAAACCAGAATGATTCACACCAAGAAGTGAGGGCCTCAGAGCCACATCTCATCATTTCCTCCTATTTTTACTCATGAACAGGCATCAAAACATACCCACCCCCTTTCTATTGCGCTGCCAACCCAGCCAAAATCCTCTCCCACTTAAATCTCACCCATTCTATGTCATAAACCTGGTCGTTCTGTGGAAAATTGGTACAGATCAAGCTTAGCTAACTCCTTCATGTCTACTGATGAGTGGGCATCTCAGCCGGAAGGAATGAAGTCTAAGTCTCTGCAGATGCAGGCACGTGAGAGCACAGATTTCAGACAGCAGCAGGCCCCCTGCAAAACCTAGAGAAAGTGCCCCCCGCCCCGATACAGGATGGTGTGGGATCAAGTGCAACACGGGGGCGGCTTTATACTCTATGATCATCCGCCCACTAGAAAAAGGCCTCCAAAGATACAATCTCAAAGAACATGCCCATCTGAGATGGACCAAAATGGCAAAGCTTGGTGTAAAAGTGGGTAACACCATTGGTTTCTCTTGCCCTGGGGTTGGTTCCAGATAGAGTGCAGAAGTGAGCATCCATCCCAGGTTCCTATAGCGCAGGGGTCAGCAATTTTTTAACGAGCCATAGAGTAAAGATCTCTGGCATTGCCGACTACTCAGATCTGCCCCAGTGGCAGGAAAAGCCATGGACTGCACACAGACAAATGGGTTGCATGTGTTTTAACAAAACTTTATTTACAAAACAGGCAGCAGGCCAGCTTGCGCCCAAGGACTGTAGTTTGTGGACCCCTGGTCTAGAGTCCAAGGTGTCCAGACCATCTTATTGTTGAGCAGAACCCCCAAGGCCAAGTCAGCTCATCTCCAGGACTGAGCTAAGAATCCAGGCTTAGTCCAGGACAATTCTAAACCGAGCCAGCTTTTCAGCTGACCTTGTAGAAGCCAAGATCCTTCCTTGCATACTGAGCTGGAACTGCAGGTGCCTCCCAGTGGAGGAGGGAGTTTTTGCTTCCCAGCATTTGCTTCCTAGTGTAGAAACTAACAGTAGTTTGCTATTTGCAAAAGAAATCTCTTCCATACACACATAATGCTCAGTGCATGTTAATGGACTCAGCTGAGAAAATTATTACGTTAGACTCCCTTGTTTGTAGATGAAATAAAACAGTATCCTTTCCCTCTCTATTTTGTTGTGATCTCAGGCTTTGTGTTTATTTTAAGAAACCTGAAGAGCTTCTTTATTATCGAAGACCATAATAAAGTTGTAAGCCATCAGAACTAAGTGCTTGCTTTAGGAGGGTAATTTAAAGGGCAAATATGCGTATTTTCTTCTTTGAAAAACATAATAGGTAATATTACTGTTATGCAATACCAGCTATCAATTAGCCTTTATGAAAATAAAACCATTCTTTAAATGAACAAGAACACTGAATCTATTTTCCTAAAAGCAAGCAGACCAGCATTTTCCTGTAAGAGCCACGTTGTTGGTATGCAGTCTCTTTCAGCCAGAATGCTTAATAAATTTGTATGTCTTGCATTAACTCAAATGGAAATTTCGTTATTTTTCTGGGGTTATTTAATATCAGCTATAATGGAGTCAGGTCTTGCCAAAATTTTCTTGTTGCTTTACTCTACCTAGTTTGAAATTAGGACTGTATGAAATCACTCATTGAAAAATACTGATTCTTAATGGAGAAAGTAAGACAGTGCCTTAATATGGTATTTTATTAATCTGGAATTAAGCACTGCTTCCTTAAGTAATCTGAGGGGAATTCTGCTAACATTTATGGCATTATAATGAGCTCAGTTTTGCATAAAACCATGATTCACTGCATAGGGGAGTTTGTTCCAAGATATGAATACCTAAAAGTTCAAATACGAAAGTTAGAGGCTTTTGGCCTTGGTGGAAAAGAAAACTAAGAACGCAGATTTCTCCACATGTGCCTGAAGAAGCAGAAACAAGGATCTGTTGTTTGCACTGAAACTGGCTTTATGAAATTAGGATATGACATGAAATTAGCACAGTATTTGATGTTACCATCCAGCTGGGCCCCCTGTCACTTAAAGTCAAAGTCTTATGAATCCTTCCATGTGAATTAAATATCCCCCATTCAGTTATTTAAACTGTCCCTCTTCTTCGTGGTCTGCTTGTCCACTTAGCTTCCCTGTTGTGATGTTTGCCTTTTTCTTTTTCTTTCTCAAGCTATTACTATTGAGTGTATCACAGGCACCAGGAGAAGGATATTAACAAGGATATGATCGCTTTCAGTTGTTGACCCAAGGTTTCCACTGTAGGATCGTCAGATTGCTTGCTTATTTGGGGTCACTTGTTAAGCAAAAGGAAGAATTACATAAGTTTTTTAAAAATTTACATTTCTCCAAAAAAAAAGTACATTTCTCATTAATTATGAGGTTGAAATTTTTTTTACATGTGTACTGACCACTTGTATTTCTTCATCTATCGTTCATATTTATTGTCCACCTGCTCATTGTGGATTTTATATTTTTCTCATTATGTAGAGAAGCAATTTATTACATATAAGCCATTTTATATATTAAGGATAATAATTGAGCACATCACCTAATCTCTCTATGAATTCCTTATTTTTTTAACATTTTATGTATTTGAGAGAGAGAGAGAGAGAGAGCATGAGTTGGGGGGTGGCAGAGGAAGAGGGAGAAGCAGACTCCTTGCTGAGCAGGGAGCCCGATGTGGGGCTCAGTCCCAGCACCCTAAGATCATGACCTTAGCCAAAGGCAGATGCTGAACTGACTGAGCCACCCAGCCACCCCACTATGAATTCCTTATTAAATGAGAAAAGGAGACCAGTTCATCTCTTGTTTTCCTTCAACTTTTACAATTAGATTATTACTTCACATTCAAACACGTATAAGTCACGTTTTCATAAAGTAGGGCATGGGTGCATTGATGGTTGGATGTCAAGAAAAAGGGACCCTGGAGCACCATGTTTTCTGTTTCTAAGACTATCCTAATGAACAATTTTTCGGAGTTAAACAAAACACTTAGGCTGGGAAAACACTATTTTATTATAAGCCCACATCACTCTTCAGAGGTGGCTCTCCAAGTGTTCGTTAGGATTTCCAGATGCTCCTTATACCTTTTTATTCCTTCAGAAAGAGAAGCACAGTTGCATTTATGTCCTATGACCTAAGTAGCTCATCTTTTCATGGATCAGGAGGTTGTTGAGAGCAAAATAATGACACCATTCAAAGACAACTAATGAACAGTGTATATATTATGAACATTTCCCATTGTTAATAAATACTCTTCTGAACTTGGATCTTGGTCATGGCTACTTAGTAATCCATCATTTACTGAGACAGTCCCTGACTGTTAGACTTTTAATATAGTATTATTTAAGTCATATTGGAATGAACTGCATTGTACATGATTTCACACCTCTGATTGTTTCCTCAGGATACAGCTCTACTAAGTAAAAGGAAATACTAAATTAAAGGAACTGAACATCTTTAAAAACCTTTTCTGTTGCCAGATTGTAACCAGATTATTAGATCAGCTGAGATACCCATCAAGAGGACAGCATCCATTTAATCATAAATCCTCCAGATTTGGAGCTTTTTGGTAGTTAATTCTTGAGGCCATTTCTTAGAAAAAATTTTATCACAGCTTTTCAAAACTTTATATTTTTCTTACTGACAATGAATTTGACTACACACACACACACACACACACACACACACACACACTGATTGGCCACTTAAAGGTCTTCCCTGTTCAATTAACTTTTCTGTTGTGCCATTTATCTTTTTCTTATGATTTACACATTAAGAAAATAATTGTCTATCAT